AAATTTTACTAATAAACCATTATTTCTATTAATTAAACATACTGAATATTGCAGATAATAGTGTTCATGGGCATCCTTGGGAGGTGGAGGTGAGAAACATAATTCTTTCTTTATTTATTTACAAGTTTTTATCCACTTCACAATTTCATACTACTTATTACACTTAATTTTCAATTCTAACAAAAGTCACCAGGTTTGTCAACAGCTTTAGTTAAAAACCTCTAGACACCTACCCTGTATCTAAATATTGAAAAACATCACTACCAAGGTAGCTTCTTGGATATTGGACATGTCAGTTCTAACTCAGGTCATCAAAGAGACTGATGACATGGTCTTGCTGATGTCCTCTGAGCCCTGACACAGTGTGATTGGGGTGAGCCTGTTGCAAGAGAATGATGCAGTCTTCAGATATCCCATGAGACAGTGTTGTTGGGGTCAACCAAAATTTACTATTATGGAGTATATATATAGCTGCAACTCTGCAGCATGGCTTAAATTAGTCTCATAAGTATTAAACCCATCAAATCTGACTGTGGGAGCTTGCCTATTCACTTGACTGTAACGATAAAACTTTGAAGGCAGGTCCATCATCTCCTGGAAAAATTTTTGCGGATGCCCATGATAGTGTGGTTGACATATTATTTTATTTTTCTTTACTTTCACTCATAAGTTCTTATAACAGTTTTTTTTTCTAAACTGTAATATAGAAACTTAACCTTTATCATTACAGATCCCCTTTAAAATGCTCATGAGCTCCTCAGGTTGAGAATCATAGGTTTAAAACTTTTTTTTTCCCCATCAGCTGTTTGTAAATTTTGGAAACAGATAAAAGTGACATTATATTCTTTAAATGCGTTTTACATATGTTAAGTTGTGGTACATGCTGCTATTCTAAATTTTATATTTTAACATTGATTTCTATCGCTCATTCAAAGCTCCTACCTTTAGCATTTCTATATATATATTACCATAATGCAATGAGATACTACTTTGCTTAATTCAGATATTGGATGTTTTGTTGGTTATGCTTCTTTTTCAAGACAACCTCAGCTCCAGTGGATAGAAATTTGACAAGTAATGAAATACACAACAGGGAACAACCCAACCAGAATTTAAAAAAAAACCTTCTTTAAAAATTAATACTCTGAACTTAAATTCTGTGCAAAGACTGCAAAATAAAAATAGCTTGCAAACCAAAACCTGGAAACAAAAAAATTGAAAATCTGATGTATATGAATCAACATAAAAATAATTTATAGATACTAATCTCATAGAATTGATGGTTGAGTAGAAGAAACATATAGGAGGTGAAGCATCTTATAAACTTTACATTATCATACTGCATAAGATGGTAGGACAAGAGAGGTCCAGTTTAACAACATATCAATGTAGAATAAAAAAACTGTGTAATGTAACAGGGATAAAAAAATAAACCCAACAAAATACCAACCTCCTAATAACTGCGAATCAGTATCAGGGAGGCAATCAAGATTAAAAGGAATGAAGATGGGTCCTCGTAAAGGATCAGAGTTTGAGGAAAATGGTAAGGCAAATGGATCACTTGGAACGGGAACAAGATGATACCCATAAGATACTGCTTTTCTTGCCCATCCTTGTACCTAAAAATTACAAGTATTAAAAATTTTATTCAAAAAATCAATAAAAGCAACAGTTCAAAGCATCCAAAATCTTCACTTTTACTAAATTATTATGGACAATGATCCTCTAGTAAATATATCTGAAGACTCACAATACATTTCACTTAGTATCTATATGGTACAAATATTTGATTTTTATAACTCAACAAAATAATTTAATTCACTATTATACAGCAAAAATGAAATATGATAAATGCATACAGAGAATCAAAAACTGGTAATGTCAGATTGTTTCTTAAGAAACTTCAAATTATGTATGAGTAAACTTGAGACAATTTCTTAAACACTTGAGGATATGATTAGGTCAATGTTTTAAATGATTAAAATAATCGGTATAACTAATTTTCTTTTTAATCTATGGTCATTATTTTATGAAAATTAAAATTTGTCTTAAATTACCATCTTACAAATGAAATTTCAATGTTTCAAGACACCCAAGTCTTGAGAATTCTTTACTTCTTAAGTTAGGCTTCATACCAAAAACTTGGAACTAAAACCAATTTCTGAACATCCACCAAACATTCTAACCTACTACTTCTGGTTATAATGGTATAGAAAATATCTAAATACATCAGTCTCTCTAAGCACTATGTAAGAGGAAGAAATGATCAATCTACAAGTAATCATGAACCAGAATTCAAGGTCTTCATAGTCTAAGTCGTGAAATGACTTAAGGTTAGGGTTCCATAAATGTCAATAAACTAAAGGGTTCAGAAAATCTAATGCCACTATATGTGCAGATGATATATTAACAAATGTATAGTTGTTAAGCCTTCCATTGGCATATGTTACTCTTTTTTTTTTCCCAAGAGAACAAAACATTCATGGAGAGAGCATAGAAAGCAATGAAATATCACAGGCTTATATCCACTTATAATGCTTCATAAACTATTACTTAATTTGATGATTTTGAACAGTTCAAAAAATTAAAATGCAACCATTCTAGGCCATCTAACTAAGTGGAATACAAACAGAAATGCAGTTGCAGCTCTAGCTCTTCTAAACTGGCTTTTTTCTTGCTCAATGGGAGTGTGAGTTGTAAAAATTATGTACAAATGGACTAATCTAGTGCTTTCAGAGGGCTGTTTCAAAATATAAAAAATGATAATGTTTGTGATTATTATTAATAATGTATGCACCATATTATATTTTAATACTAACATCCAGTATTCAAATATCCTTAATAACTATACCATTATAAACACATGTTGCAGTTGACCATCAGTTTGAATAAATCAATATGCTCCTCAATATTAATGATAAAGTGGCATGCACAACTTTTATAATAGTTTGACAATTTGAATGATGTTAGTATGTTTAAAATAGTAGATGTAAATGGAAGTTCTATTTTTATTTTTCAAACCTAGATTTTAAACAGCACTCCTGTATCTTTAAATTACAAAATTCAGTTACTAATAAATGATGTTTTACAATCACTCAAACTTTAATTTGTGCTTATGTGTCCGAATGAGGCCATTAGCAATAAAGAAAGTAGTAAAGGGAATTGAATAAAAAGGATGTACATAAAAAGTCATCTAGAAATGACTGAAACAAGATGTTACCTATAAGACAATGTTTCTCTTGCCTATCCCTGTACCTCATCATTACAGATATCCTGTGTATTGAAAAATGTTGTTGGAAACACCGATGAACAAACCAACATACACAAAATTTTACCCAAGACTCGGAAGAATTATAAAATTTCTTAGGGAAACATAACACAAATAGATAAAAACAAATGTATAAACTATTCTCAAACACTGTCTTATTTGCATTAACTAATAGAGGTGATACAAATGACAACTGGAATTTACGAACAATGTGAATATGATGACAGAAGTGAAAATCTGATCATTCTTTTTACCATTTTGCAAAGAACTTCGGGGAAATATATGAATGAGATAACGTGCTTCAGTTAGATGTTTTAAATTTGTAGGTCTTCAGAAAAGTACAGAGAAAAGAAGTATTAAAGACATCATAAAATAGTTTAAGAGTTAATAACATAAAGGAATAGGGAAATGAAGTATTGAAGACATCATAAGATAGTCTAAGAACTAATAACAAAATTGTACAGAGACAGAAATTTTAAAGACATTATAAATAATCTAACAATTAATAAATGAAATTTAGAGAGACAGGGATAAAACTACTATGTTTGAAAACTATTCTACTAAAGGGCTGCAGTATTGAGGAAGTAAGCTGGTGACAGGTCAGGACAGTACTATAAGGAAAGAACAATAACACAGCTGAAAAATTTTATAGTTGAAACATAGTAAAGAAAAAAGAAAGTATCACAAATTTCATCATCTAATGACAAAGGATTAAGTCTTGCTTTCACTATACTATCTCCAGTATCCTATATACATTTGCTTATGGTATTCACAAAAATGGTCTAACCAAAAGAAACAATCAAAACAAAGGACAGTTTAAGCTTTTAACATTTTCCTCATCAAAAGTTAATGCATTTTCTCTAGAAAAAAACAAAAAAGCTAATAGATAAAAAGGATAGAAAATGGAACAGCAGCCATATTTCAAGCAGTAAAAACTATGGAGAAATATTAAAAAAAAGGCATAAGTACAACAAAAATAATGGGAGACTGGGAATATGCACATCTATACAATCTTTACAAAGGTAGAAGTTTAATATTGTTGGATTCATTACTAGTAGACAAAACAAGCATGGTAAAATCATCTAATGTCATCAAATTAAGCAGAACTAAAACCATTAGAATCCAATTAGCAAAAAATGATCTCTCCAGTGGCATAATTTAGTTTGGGTTAGACAGCTAGATCACTGCATCAGTGACACATAACAAATGCACAGATGGATCTGAATATTAAATACAATAAAGAAAACTAGTACAATGGAAAACTAAAGTATAAAGTGTTTTCTTAATGATACCATAATCTAGAAAGTGAGTTTGTGTAATAACAAAATAATCAGTGAGAAGATGCAGATCTCAACGAAAAGCTAGATAGGGCATCCTTATGAATGTAATGTTCTTGATATTGAAATTCATATTCCATAATAATTAATTTCCTCAGCTGTTACTCTTAAGCATAATTTATATTACAGGTATGTAGATTAAAGAATTGCTATCTTTGGAAATTTTGACACTCTACTTCTATTATGTTTGAGATAATATTTGCAACCACATTATACTGAAAATTGTGATTTCCATGCCAGAAAGAGGCAGTAGCATAGGAAGCACTTTCACTCTGATGATTACAGACATTTGTTCATTGCACTTAATGTCAGACCACAGAACTGATCTATTCTCTGAAAGAAGGCCACAAAGTAAGGATCAACCATCAATTTCATATGTTCATTAAAAATATCTGAAGAAAGATATTTACTCTTTGATAAATACATCTGCAATTCATGATCATCTTAAGAGCATAAATTTAACAACTATATCTAATTTCTATCATTATAACCCCTGAAAGCCTACCCTTGATGCAGAAGATATTCTAATGAAGATAGGTGCTTTAATAACATTTGTTGTCTTAGCTGTTTCTGTTCTTTATGAACTTTATATAGCATTGAAACAACATTTACTAAGTTTTCAAATTTCATGCAGGCTTTTGGAATGAGCATGACTAGATTTCTGCTTAGTAAATAAATATAACATCTTCTTCCATTCACAGAAACCTACTCTTGAAAATTAAGCACTTGCCTTTGTGTTAAAAGTACATCAGTTATTTTCCTTTCATAATAAAAGCAGCAGAAGCAAACCAGCTTCTGTTGACTTTCACGTAATGTAAGCCATAGATATTGATTAATTAAATCAACTTGCCTGAATTAATCTTCACTGTCGTAGTGGCTGCTAGAAGTTTGCTGGAAGTGGTTCGATTTTTGGCCTTTCACAGTTAGGCTTACAATATTCATTTGTATAACATCCAAAACACAGACTCCATTTCAACAGTTTGTTCATACAATTCCATAAAGGCTGCATCTGATAACTTTACCTGTTTGTCTTCATATTGATTAGCATGAATATCCATTTAATTTTCCAACTGCATAAGGTATGCAATGGTTGAACAGATATTTTGTGGAAGCAACTCATTTACATATGACTTGTCACTTTTTGGAGATGATCTTCTTGATTTTGTTGTGTAATGTTGCCTGAGACACATGGATAGTTTTTGCCATTAACATTTGTATTACTGGATTCTCATCTCTTAAAAAGATGGTTTGTTTTAGGTTTTTTCTGAATGATCCTGGTGACCCTAGTTGATACATGTTCCTTTAAGTACAATGGATATACCCAGTTTGGAAACACTAAATACCAAATCTAAACACATTTTTATAGTCTGAATGAGCTGTTATATACCTTCCCAAAATTGCCAAAATGTTAATAGGTAGCTAAGGCTATGGCTGTCACATGAGTTGCTAATTTGCATATTCAAAACTGCTTTAATATAACATACTCAACCATTTATGTAGAAGCCTCACAGCATTCATGAGTATTTAGGAAATGTCAATAATTTCTCACAGAAAGCTTTAGTGTACTGCAATAAATCAATTTATATTACATAAAAGTTAATTGGATGGAAATTTGTGTATAAAGTTTCACAAAAAACCTCTTTTGCTCTTGGAAAACATAACAGAAATAAGCAACAACCTTGTTAATAATTCCAACTTAACTAAAGAAAAGGATAAAAGAGAAAAGAAAATTATGTACACATCTCTTGAAAACCTCCATATATGAATGTGGAAAAATTACAAAAATGGATAATGAAAAACTATATACTGATATAACCAAGAAAACTTTAAACACCCTATGTTACATTAAAAACACACAAGAAATAAAAATAATTTATGCAATTCTGTGTGATTATTATTGAGTAAGTTTATCACATAATAAGATTAACAATGGCTGTATAGATGGATAGACAAGATGCAGATATGAATGTGCTGCTATAGATCTTGGCGTGAAAATTCTGGTTTAGTTATTAAAAATATAACTGTAAGGTTTGAATTTTTGAGCACTTAACAGCATTTTAAAAATCACTCTATAATTCTTAAAACATATCATGACTTAAAATTCTAAAAAGAAAACTAGAGTAAGACCTTCCACTGTATATGCCAAAAAACAAATATCAGATGAATGCTATCTAACTCACCAGATCTGCTAATATGCTGCCTGTTGCAACCAACCACTCGACAAGGATTTCAAAGGCCTCAGATGGACAGAAGATAGAATGATAATGTAAGTGTCCCCATTCTTCTCGACCACTTTTCTTACCAACATCAATGTCAATGTTTGTGGCCTTAAACTCAATTTCTAAATAATTTAAAAATCAAAAATAAGATACTTTCACACTATGAACCCATTTAGATTTGACACTTTTATTATAGTTGATTTGGAGCATTACTCATTTCTAAATTATAACATTTAATACTGTTGTTTTTCAATACACTTGTTTGTTAAAGTAATTATGAAAAATTCTCAATCCAAAAAAACCAGGATATATTAAACATCTTGAGAATTGTAATGTCAAGTCAGAAACTGTACATGATGAAATCATGACTATATATTTATCTTTGATTTTAAGTTTCATTTCAAAACTTTTGACTTTGTGTTTGACCTAATCTGCTGTTTTTCATGCTCTACTAATTTTCTGAAATAAATTAATAGTGTATTGCATTTTTAATTGCTCTTGAATTAGTAATCAATGTACAGGTTTGTTCAAAACAAACAGAAGGGAAACACATATCCTTGACTAGTCTTAACTGGGTCATCACTAGGAAGCATGTTCACTGGACACTTTGAGTTTAAAGATTTCAAGATTGCATCATATTTTTAGAAGGTCAAGTCTGATTCATAGGTTGTGTTATTAGAACAATGGAATTTTAGTTTAAAAATGTTGAAAATTTTAAAGACAATTCAGAGTGAAATCTGAAAAATGTTTGAGGACAATTCTTATGAGTACTTTTTAAACAAGTCTGCGAGAGTGCAATATAACCATAATTAGATTACACAAAGATGGAAAACCATGTCATTCATAGTACAAGCAATCTTAGTGCTACATCAAGAATGTAAATTGAATAATGATGCACCGAGTCTCTGTGAATTTGCGACAACAAAGACAAAATCAAAAAGTACAGCAACAGTGGTGTTTACCAATTAACATGTCAAAACTGAAATAGTGTATACATAGGTCAAACAGGATGTTCCATAGAAACAAGAACTGAAGAACATTCTAGATGGAAATTAAGGAAAATAGATTCAACCTTTGCATCCCATCTTATTGAAACTAAACACCAATTTGATCGAGAAAAAAACTACAAAATTTTACATATCTGTGAAAAAGGTAAAAACTAAATAGCCTGGAAATTTAGAAATAAACAGAAGCCTGAAAACAAATCCAGAAAAAATTCTAAATGACCAAAATAACTTAAGCTCCTCCCCACTTGTCTCAAGGTGAATGTCAAGGTTACTTCTAGTTATTTTGTTAAACCTACTTACAAACCATTCCAGTCTATATCTGATGATACCTTTACAGACAAAATTATGGTTGTTGATAAATGAAGTATTTGTGAAACATACAACTGTCTTTGTTTTTACCTCAATTCTGTAATTATTGAAACAATTTTGTAACTATTCATATTCCATTCACAATCTCAACAAATCACTGAAGTTATGTACCAATGACAGCAGCATCACGAAATACTACTTGTGATTGAAGCATCCAATACATTGATGATACCTTAAATGATGATCAATAACATAAGTGAATTTATATGGTTCAGTGCTTGACTTGATCAAGCATTTGGATAATGACTAAAGAGCTGAGAGTACTTGTCTAGAAAGTGCTGGATTTACATGTAAGAGACAGCTCAACAGCCACCAGCATCTTAACAGATATAACTTGGATTAAACCAATCATACTGCAGCTACGATGGCCATGTTGTTGAAAATTATTAACTGAAAGGAAATGACATTCCTTGCTTTCCAATCTATTGCATAGCATTCCAAGGTACACTGTATGCACTAACTCTTCTGATTAACATTTGATCATCATGAAGCTAGAACAGTCATTTGGTCAAGAAACCAGTAATTTAAAGGAAGTAGTGATTCTTGCTTTCTGAGCTATCAGGTGATATTGTAAGTACAATGTATGCACTACAATATTCGATTACCACTCGATCATCACAAAGCTAGAATGGCCGTTGCCTAGTGCATTACAAGTTTGTACGATTGGAAATGATAGCTCGGAACTCAAAAATTCATCTGAAATGGTATTGTGGCCCTTTCTTTCTTAATGGTATTGTGGCCCTTTCTTTCTTAGCTAGCTGGTGGTATTGTAATGTAAAAATGTACACTACACAGAATGATTGCCACTCAATCATCATGAAGCTGGAATGGCTAGTACAAATAGATGTAATGCCTAGTACATCAAAGTTTGCCCAAACTGAAGATTATAGCTAGAAATTTAAAAACTCAGATAAAAGGGGATTTGAGCTCTTGCTTTCCGAGATACCGTGTGATTTTCAGTGGCAAAATGTCATTTGATGTTTCACAAAAATCATCACTAACCTGATCTAGCTGAATGAAAAACCTCTATACAGCATAACACTTGATCCTCATTAGATCTTTACTGGTAAACCTTCAAGGCATGTAACTTCACCACATGCAGTGAGGTAGTTGGGTTTTGTCTGAATATATATACTGATACATGTAATAACACCACAAACAAATTTTAGCTGTATGCAGTGAGGTAGTTGGGTTTTGTCTGAATATATACACTGATACATGTCATAACACCACAAACAAACTTTAGCTGTAAAGACTTAGTTTAATTTGCTATTAGTATATGTTAAAATGTGTGAAGAAGATACATTTATATGACCTTATATATGTATAAATAAATGTGTGTGTGGTCTTACACACGTATGTACATAACATGAAGTCATTCAAAAGTGTTGTATAATGCAAATGGACCAATTACACAAAGAACACAACATTAGAATGGAAACAAAAAATTTTAATCTAGATGTTAAGGCCTTGTGACATGATTACTGACCTATAAGGTACTGTTAAGATAAAGTGCACCTGTTATTTTTCATTAATACTAGTAAGAAAAATTTTTAATTTTAGTCATGAAATATTCAGAAAGTAGTGCATTTTACATGGAAGATAGGAGTAACATGGATTACCTCCACGAAAAACACAGTTTTGTCTGTTGTTTTTAGTAAGAATAGTGCAAAATATATCAATAGGGTTGAATAAAAAATATTTATGAGTGGGTGAAATTATTTTTATATAAAGCACAAACATCTGTGTGTCTGTCTGTTTGTCTGTTATCTAACTACTCCAAGGCCGCTTAGCCAATTTCAAACAAACTTTGTGGGATGATAGTTTGGAACAAGGGGCACTTGAACTCCTTCTACCCCCATTATTGCTGTTATTGAGCATTTATTATCTTTGGCACAAGTTAACTACAGTCATAGATGGCGCCACAAAAAAAAACTTAAATTTTCTATAAAACAGCATACACACAGTATAGGGGGAGGGCACGCAAACATATCTCAGAGAGTGTACTAGTACTCTATGAAGGAACACAATGAAAAGAAATCAAGAGCTGGTAACTGAGGATGATGAATAAGAGAGGGAGACAGAGGAAGAGGTAACGGAGGGGTAAGTTGGAGCTGGAGAAGCTGTGGAAACCATGTCTGAGCCTGCCAGTAAAGAGCAATAAGAAGGACTTGACATGGAGCGGTATGGATGATCGAAATCACCTGGTGAAGAAGTCGATTGGGAGGATTAACATATGGGTATTTGTTGGTCCAATCCTGGCTGAAAGCACTGACAAGAGCAAGAGGATGAGGGACTGGAGAACAAAACAGAGGTAATTTGAGGTTGACGGATGTGGCAAAAGCATCTATGTGAGGAGTACCCCACTGAAGTCAGAGCCACTGGAAAACAAGAGGATTGAGAGACCACTCTGTCAGATAGATTTTGTCTGGATGGGAAAGCTGATCCACAACAAGACTGAAAGCACCCAGAACATGACACGCAATGATATGAATATCTTGCGTGTGGGCCCAAAAAAGAAGATCCACTGTAGAATTGTTGGAATGGATCATTACCAGACGATTTCTGGCCAGATGGAGAAAATGAACCAAAGCAAGAAGCTCCAGGATGTTGATATGATAAGACTTCTCGGCCATAGACCAATACCCTGAAACTACCTGTTGATCGACCCATGCCCCCCACCCACCCCCCACATTCCTGAAGGGATGCATCTGTGAAAATGTGTAAATCTGAATGAGGAAGAGGAAGTGTGAGTATTGTACAACCACTATTGCAGATCACTGACTAGGGTAGGAGGAAGGGTAATAAGAGCCTGTAAAGGATCCCATGCAAGATTCCTCTGGTCGTGAAGAGCCCACATATGAGCATGATCTAAGGGGGATAAGGGCTGCCATGGAAAATCACATCCCCAAAAGCGATAGAACCTTGCAAGCTGTAATAGAGGGAGCACTAAGAGCGTGGAGAACTGAAAGCTCCATAGAACAAATTTGAAGAGGAGAAGATTGGGCCCAATTGAGATGGGTGTTGAAAAAACACACCCATATGGACAAGATATAGGGAGGGTTGAAGGAATGGCTTCTCCAATTTGATTAACCAACTCACTCGAGCCATTTCCAAAAGCAGCTAATGAGTGTGACAGGCAGACTCCTGTTCGAAACAAGCTAACAGTAGCCAGTCATCCACATAATGATGAAAGCACAAACCGAGAGCATGTAGGTGACAAGCAAATGCTCTGACCACATGACAAATAACATACGGGGCCAAAGCATGCCCAAAGGGCAGTGCACAAAACTGATAAACCCAAAGATATGGCCCAGACTGATGAGATATTGGGAAATGCAAGGAAGCATTCACAATGTCTATCTTGGTCATTCACAAACTCGGAGAAAAAGCCCACCTAAGGGTGAGAAATGATTCCATGGTAAAACAGGGTAGACTGAGAAATTTATTGAGGTGGGACAAATCTATTACAGGCTGCCAGTCTCCGGTTTTCTTGGGGACAACAAACAACCTGAAATAAAAGCCTGGAGAAAGATGATGAACAGGTTTGATGGTCTGTTGAGACAAAAGGTCTTGTACAGCCTCTGACAGATGCTAGCAAGTGGTAGGATCATGAGGCATAGGAAATGAAATGGGTACCCAAGACAAAGGAGGGTGGGGGGAGAGAAATTGGAGGACAAGTCCCTCTGACAAAACCTGAATAACCCACTGATCTGTGATGAAAGAATGCCAAAGGGAAACAAGTTTGCACAACTGCACAGACCAGAACCCACTGGGTTGTCCCCGGTACTGTTGATGCCATGCCATTCTCTGTAGAATAAAACGACAAGACAAGGAACTCCTGGAGGGAGGAATAGATAAGGGCTGAGAAGGACTAGGAAGGGAAACAGGAATAGGGGGCTTGTCGTGGTTCTGACTGCAACAAATGAGCTACCAAAGAGAAAAGGGTAGAGTGATGATGCACAGACTCCATGTGTGATTCTAAAGTCTCAGGTACATGGTTGAAAAAATACTGCCGAAGAAAAGGGGCCATACATAAATCACTCAAATAAGTGGGCAGCAAACAAACCTGGAACAAGGCTGCATTGCGACCAAGAGATCCAAACAATAAAAGGTCAAAAGGTATGCTGTGTTGGTCACTGTCATGTGGATGACAATAGGGGACAGCACTGTTATAATTTAGTGGTCAAGCTGAGATCCAATGAGGCTTGAGGACCAAGAAGTTCACAGGCATTAGAGATACATTTTCTATAGGTGAATAGGGTGAAAGTACATGCAAAGCTGTAAAAATGTCACTTGACCAACGTATTCCATAAAATACTCTAAATAAAAGTAGTTTGAGAAAAGAATAATGGTTGTAAATGGGTATATATAATGTTATTTCAAGCAATACACATGGCTGAACTTTCAACCATTTAGAATTTATCTGATCTTACACTTTCAATATGAACTTTTGCTAGCTAAGATCAAGATCTTTTCTTCTGGCTATCTTGTTCTTTAACTAGCCAGGGTGTCAATCGTTTGTGTGCTGAAACTTCCAAATCTATTTCAGATGCCATATTAGTATACATACAAAATCTCTTTTCCATTTATTTATTCAGTTTTTTCTGGGCTGAACTATCCAAAATATGTGCCAGAAAACAAATAATTATTATAACAATAAGAATAAAGATGCTAGATAGTAACAATATATTGTGAGCATGATTTAGAAACTCACTTTTCTCTACATGTTGAGTTATGTGCCATTCATCGGTTGGCTGTTCTCTTTCTGTCCATGGAAGAGTAATTATTTGTTGTGGCGACTCAGAAACTGGTAGTAATTCTACTTCAAGCCATTCTTCACGAAATAATCGAATATCTCCCTCTTGAAGTTCAGAGTTTGACACTGAAATTGACATTAAAATATAATATAAACTGTGAGAAAAACTGAATATTGAATAATTTGTGACAGTTTAAAGTGATGCATCTGACAAAGGTCATTTCAGTGTGGAAAATGAACAAATGTAACATGTAGATACTAATAGCAATAAAAGAATCTGCAAACTTTCACTTTTAAAGCTCAAACGTGAAGCAATTTTTCTTTTATATATACAAACACAAAAGAACTACTATCTCTACTAACAAAAACCAAATATTTAAATAACTAGCAGTATCAATGTCAAAAATACAGTATTTATATTTTATCTCCATGAAAGAAGTAATATTCAGTTTTAGAAAATTAATCAATGAATAATGAACAAATGAAAGAAAAAATTCATTGTACCCATATGCAAGCAACAAAAGTAATCACTTCGATTAACTTCAGGAACTTGTGGTTGTAGTCGTAACTTTTCTTTTTCCCATAAATAATAAAACAGAATGTTGAATAAACGTACACCCACCAAGAGATTTTAGCTGGTTTTTATCTATCTTATTCTAAAATTAAAGCTAAAACAAAATCCAGTGATCATGTTTAGAGAAGTTTCATTACTTAACAAACTATTGGTAACTTATTTAGATGGGTTTAATTAGAACGTCCCTGTGCTGTAAAGAAGTCCCAGCTTTTTGTTATTAGATGGATGTAATATTAAGAAGAAAACATTTGTATGAAACATTATGGATGTAATACTCAGGAAACCTTGTTTTGCATATAACAATACATCATACTTTAGAATATGTCATAATGGATAACAAAAAAGTGCTAACTGTTGCTTTATTTTTAGAAAGTTACAGACCCATTACTTTTTTTCTTGCTACTGATAAAATATTTTCTGATGATGCACTTTAAAATACTTTTTTTTTGGAACTGGTCTTGATTTTAAAAACAAAGTACTACTTCCTAGTGTTTTTGTAAAACTTAATAGACATTTCTAAACATTTTATGTTTTTGAACATATACATTATTTACAAAACAATTCTGTAATATTATTTTTTGCTTTTCTTTTTAATCACAAGAAATCAGGCAAAAATTACCCAGAATGGAAAACAGATTAAGATTACTTCAGGTACTGATTAAGAATAAGAACTTCAATTTCAAACTAGTCATAGCAGAAACAAATCTTTTTTACCGAAAAAAAAACGTCCACTGGTCTCCTTACACACTTTAATAGATTTATCCCGTTTACGTATAAACGAAACCTTGTTACATGCTTACTAAACAGAGCTTACAACCTGTGCTCCACATATCTTAATATACACTCTGAAATTTCGTTCTTACATGACACCCTGAAACGTAACTGCTATCCACAACACTTATTAGAAAACATTACCAACATCTTCCTAACAA